AGCGTCTTGCTGTGTTTTGTGTTGCTATTCCTGCAAATCCCACCCTGGGACATTTATAAGGAGCAGCAGGCTGGGCCCCGCGCAGCACAAGTGTACGTGTACGTATGTAATGACCAGGAATGGGTGGCTCACGGTTCTCAGCAGCTTGGTGTCAGAGGGCTTCCTGGTGGGAAACAGATGTGAGTCACAGGATGCAGCTTGGGCCCCTACCGGCTGGACCGACCCTCTCCTTCTGGTCCTCTCTCTCAGTACTGTTTCAGTGCTGACTAATGTTCAACAGATACTTTTTGGGAGACACATTCCCACTGCCGCACGCAGCTGGTGTCTGGTTTGTGTTTGTGGGATGCCCGTGTGGGGCATGGAGACCGGAATCCACTCCCGCGAGCCAGCTGCGCAGTGCACCTGATCGTCTTCTCTCATGAACAGGAAAGGGGCTGGGGACTCTTCCTCTGGACCTGCTGAAGGAGGAGTCTCTGGAGACTGTACGTCTCCTTCTGCTGCTTGTACTGGAGAAAGAAATCTCAGAGGACAGGGTGGGTGTCCTCCCGAAAAGAACACAAGTTTGGTCCCTGGTGCCTGCAGAATGGGGACAGGGCAGCTGTCCTAGCTGCAGCAAGGACCCCCACTACAGAACCTGAGGCACAGTTGCAGGGTTTTCCTGTCCTCTCACCCGAGCTCCTGTCCTCAAAGGGTCTGGGGCAGTGACGGAGAACCTTTTAGCATTTTCAGTGGTACAATCATCCCGCTGTGGTGAGCCTGTGCCAGGTTAGTTACCACTGGCCTAGGCCTCCCCTCCTGACATGGGAACTCACCATCTCATCACTACTTTCGCTTCTTGGCCTTTACCTAGGTTCTCTTCCTTCTGATCTATCCAACGTCCCTCCACCCAGTGAGTCCCAGAACCTCCACGTGGTCACCTTCAAAGTCACCCTTGGAGGGTGCGTGTTGGATCTCACTCACGGTTGCACTTTCAGCCTGCCATGGCCCCCACCTTAAATGCTCTTCACCTTCTAGTCTCTTACCAAATTCTGCTCACTCCTTCAAGTCCCACACCGCTGGGATTCTCTCCTTGGGCTCTGTGATCACCCATTCAAACACTCAATAGACCTTTATAGAGTGTTACCAAATACCAGGCGCCATGCAAATAACGTGCTAAAGGCCATAGGTGTACTGAACTGAGACTTCCTGTTAAGGGCAGGCGTGTCACTTCCTGCTTCTTGATGAGTAGTGGCTTATTCGACGTTTCCTATTAATCCAAGAAAACAACTCAAAGATACAGGTTTTATTTATTATGTGGCATGAATCTGGATATAATACGTATGAGTTTTCAGTTCATGTTTAATAATTTATAAAATGGGACGTGGTGATCTCTAAAAGCCCAGCCCTGAAGTTCCAAAGGTGTAGAAAACAGGATGCTCAGGACAGAACCACTAGATGTCGCTACTGACAACACGAAAGGTAAATCGGGGCCAGAGTTTGACATCCCGGTACTGCTTTAAAGAACACTCATCACTTTAAGACTAAAAATGCGAAACCTTTTCACAGCTGAGCCCTATAGAAACCCACAGGCGCGGTCTCAGAGATAGATGCACGGGCCCAGGACAGTAGCCCAGGTCCGGGCACAGCATAGCTAGGTACCTCCTGTTCCTTCTGGACAAGCTCCCAGCAAGTGAGGCTCGGGCAGTGGAGCCCGGAGGCGCAGCATGCGAAGGTGCTGTTTGTGGACCAGGTTTCCCTCTGCCCCGGCGCCCTGCAGGCCCCGTGCACACACACTTACGCCCACCTACACAGGCGGAGTCCATCCGGCAGGGGGCGTGAAGTGGACGCCGAACGCATAAATGGAGCCCTGCGTTAGGACGGAAGGCAGACTGGCACGAGTCCTCCGCAAAGTGCTCCTCCCACTTCAACGGCGCTCATCCCATCGCCCTCCACGCGTTGGGCAGCAGCCCTTGAAGTCCTCTTCCCTGAGTGTCTGTATGAGGGGTACTAAAAAATATGGTGAATGCGGCTGGCCAGCGCCCTCCAGTGGAACGGCAGGCTCGTGTCCTCATCCATAGACCTAAAACCTTGAGACTTCTTCTCCGCCGAAGGTCAAAGTGACAAGGAAAGGGAAAGATTTTGAATGGACTCAAGACCAGGAGGCAGCCAGGGCAGCTCAACTAAAAACACTCACGAAATAGGACTTCAGAGCTGCTGCAGGAAGTGGCAAGAACCATGGGATGAGGGCGCACAAAGTGAGGGGAGGACCCATGGCAATGTGTCTTTCCTGTACAGGATGGTTTTTAATCTAGTGACTCATTGCGTTTTATCACAGCAGGTGCCCACGTAGGCACACTCACACATAAGCATACCGTGTAACGGTCACGCTGTGTCAGCACTCTGGCAAGGACAGACCACACAGAGGAGAGTGTGCCCCCTGCCTGGGAGTGGAGCGGGCCCCCCGCGAGGGTTTGTGCAAGCACACACTCGGTACTCAGAGGCCAACTCGCCTGGGACACGGTTATTTCTCAGAACGCGTCTGCGTCCCTGGTGAGTGACCATGGTTGGAGCCAGAGTCTCAGCTAATGACGCCGCTCTTACGACGTGCAAGGCAATTTGCTTTTTTAAAGAAAGCAGTCATAAGCCGGCAGGCCGGCTGCACCGGGACACACTTCCTCCTAGTAGTCCGCCAGGGCAGTTTGCACAGCTGCCCCTCCTGCCCAACCCTGAGCCCTCTCATGCCCACCCCCCAGCAGCCCCTGCTGTCCCCAAGCTTATAGCCCAGGTCTCCACTTGCGTCCGGGCCCTGCCCAGGCCTGAGGCTGGGGCTCCACAAGCATCGTGAGAGCTTTCCTTTCTGCGGAAGGGACGGATACCTGTGAGGACGTTTGAGACGCCCCCTCTCGCACCGTGAGCCCAGATGAACGCCTCCTGCAGCGAGCCCTGCGGACTGTGCCGGACCACACTTTCACCGCACAGCATCTTCCTGCTGTCTCTGAGTAGAGACGCAGCTAAACCTGTCACTGTCACAGGAGGGAGAGGAGAAACTCAATACTGACCTTGCTTTCCTCCTGATCTTAGTAAGCTTTTGTTGGTTAGGTGGTGTTTTGCCCTGTCAACCTCCCACTCCTAGGCAGCGCCCCACGGGTGGGCCAGGCCTCTGCTCGGTCCAAGTCCTCCACCCCAGTCTCCCAGGCAGGCACCAGGCCACGGGTGCTCAGGCTGCAAACGCTTGTGTGCATGGGCCATCTTGGGAAATTCCTGACACTAACCTTCCACACACAACAGGGAGGGATTGGAGAGAAGAAAGGACAGTGCCAAGCTCATGATGACCGAGTACGGGGAGAGGCAGGCAGCTGAACAGGGGGCCTCTCTCTGGTCTTAGTTGGCTTTGTGAAAAAGGGAACCCAGTGTGGTGACACTGGCCTATAATCTCAGCACTCAGGAAGCTGAGGCAGGAGGATCATCTGTCGTGAGTTCAAGGCCAGTGTGTAAAACAGTGTGATCCTGTGGACTAGGCTGGAATAATCAGGTTGTTATAATCTAACCAAGGAGAGGAAATCAGCCCAAGCCGTGCAACATGCTGGTGTGGAAGTCGGGGCTCCGCATCTTACATTCAGAGCCGCACCTCCCAGTGCACTCACAGGGAAACTGGGGCCCAAGGGGACCAAAGGCAGCCTTGCTGGGAGCGGCGCTGGCAGCAGAGAGGAGACAGACACAGACAAGCCTCCGGCTCCAGCCTGCAAGGGGAACCGCATTTTAAAACTGGAAATTTTTATCAACCAAACCTTGGAATATTTTTAAGTGAGAAAATCCTGAATGTGGAGCTGGCTAAGGAGAGGGAGTTCCCGGGGAAGGGGGGAAGGAGGCCATGGAGGGAACAGGCCTTTCCGGGCTCCATGTGGCCACAGACAAAGTTTTGAGCCTTCACCAAGCAGAAAAAAAGATATTTTTAAAAAAATTGTAAGTAAAACAAAACCGGGCCCCAGCTGATAGAAAATCAGAATCTGCTACCTAAGAACCTGCCGGCACCGGACAGGTGGTATTCTGGACCCGTGCCTCACCTGGCTGGCACAGTAACCATACTTAGACGCAGATTTCACACCAGAAATACAGGGCTGCGAGAAATCTGTCCGTGTGAGGAGCGGGAGGGGTCCCGCGCAGAAGCCGCAAGGATGTTGTGTGGTAAACTCACAGCGCCCTGCAGGTGTCCCAGCCCAGTGCCTCAGCTCCTTTTCGCCTCTCTGTCCCCAGCCAGCAACCCCAGGCCACCTCTGACCCCAGGGCCACGGTCTCCCTCACTTTCTGTCGCTGTGACCAACGTGCAGACGGGGTAGTTTGTAAGGAAAGAAGTTTATTCCACCCAGGACAGCAGAGTGGGACTGGGAGGCCATGGGCTGCGCAGTGCTGTCCGGCAGGGCCCAGGGTGGGCGGCCCGGCCTCCTGTCCAGCTATCCCTCCCCGCTGTCCACACCTCCGCCCTGCCCCAGGAGTTGCATTTCTCCGGGAGTTGGACTCCGTGTTGGAGCCGCAGCAGTGTGGGGAGCCTGTCCGCCAGTCTACACCGGTCACTGTCCATGCCGGTCACTGTGCACTGCCCACTGTCACTGCAGGCTCGGAACCAGCTGCTTCCGGAAGTGACATGCAGTCCAGCCGCTCCTGTGCAATGGGCTTTGTGCTCACGATTCACCCTCCCGGAGCTCAGCGAGAGCTCGGAGCACACGAGAGGCCAGCGAGGCTCGGCCGTGACCTTCACAGGGCAGGGGGACAAATGCACTGCAGCTCGGCACGTTTTCACCTGAGCATGGAGCAGCAGATGGAACCCTACGGACAGTCCAGGAGCAGCTGCGGCGTCCCAACAGACAGGAGGGAGGCAGCGCACTTTGCACAGAACCTGAAAGGGCTGGCAGACAGTGGGACACATCAGTGCCACCACACACGCACATCCGGGCCACAGGACCCGAGAGCCTGCTCCAGGAGGTGGCAGCGTCTGCAGCCCAGGTGATGCTGCCTTCCACACCCTTCAGTGAGAAAATCGAATCCAGGCGGTCTAACAGCCGGTCGGACTGTCCCAGGGCTGGCCCCGGGGACGCACAGGAGAAACCAAGCAGACCGTCGCTCCCCGCGAGACAGTGGGGTACGCAGAGGGGAGCACTCGCTGCGTATCTGTAGAGTACTTCCCACTGCTCTCTTTAGAGTGATTTGTATCCTTGACACGACTCCTCTGAACATTCAGTACATCACATAGCAGTTACAGCAGGCGTTTTCCGCCCCGTGGCGGGAATGCCGCACAGCGCTGGTCCCCTGAGAACCTGCCGGCCGGGACGCTGTGGGAGCTCTTCCTGCCACAGTGGGAGAATCTGAGAACAGGAAAAAACAAGAGCCAAGAGAGAGGAAAGCTTCACCGAGCAGTAAAGACTCATTTCAAGAATAACCATACTAAAATGAAACCATCCAGCCCAGCGCTTCCTCAACCATGAGGCGGGTGCCACCGGACGCGTGGAGAGCAAACCAGCGCTCACCCACGAGGACAACAGCAGACGCCACGCGGCCGGGACAGCGCGCCGCCCTTTACCCTGTCAGTCGGCATCTCCTGCATGGCCAGAGGTGGCCTTGGCGTAACTCAGAGGTACATTCAGCCCCACCGCCGGCCCCACGACGCTCAGCCACGACGTGATGTAGTTGATGGTCCTGGAAATGGAGGAGACGGAGACTCAGGCCCTGTCCCCGCCTCCAGGACAGCTTCTGGATGCGTGGACACCACGCGTTCAGCGGCAGGGACGGAAAGGCTTCGCCAGACCCTGCGCCCAACAAGCAGCCCAGAGGACGGGCCGTGAGGACCCCTCCCTGAAGGGTGCTGGACACGGGTTCACGGCTGCCCGTGACGACGAAAGGCCACTGAGATCTCTGGCACTGGTGACGGCCGCAGAGCGCAGTGGCCAAGAGCCGGGCTCTGAGACGCACGCGGGGGTCCAAGTCCCGGCTCTGCCGCTTCACCCCCCCCCCCCGG